CACACACACTCAGAATGGCACACACACACTCAGAATGGCACACACACTCAGAACGGCGCACACACTCAGAATGGTGCACACACACTCAGAATGGCACACACACTCAGAATGGCACACACACACTCAGAATGGCACACACACTCAGAATGGCACACACACTCAGAATGGCGCACACACACTCAGAATGGCACACACACTCAGAATGGTGCACACACACTCAGAATGGCGCACACACACACTCAGAATGTCACACACACTCAGAACGGCGCACACACTCAGAATGGTGCACACACACTCAGAATGGCGCACACACACTCAGAATGGCACACACACACTCAGAATGGTGCACACACACTCCAAACTTGTGGTTGTTGGATGAGTCGCTAGCCCAATCCTAATGCCCACAGGCTACCTGGTTTCTTACTTGCAGTTAGATGGACATCAAAGAACGCCTTCCCATTAATTCATGTGGATGGGTGCCTCCCCTGCATACACGTACCCAAGGAGGTCAGAGGAGGGCATCAAATGCCCTGGAGCTGGAGTTAGTGTGGATGGTGGGTGCTGGGAATCAAACCCGGATCCTCTGCAAAAGCAAAAAGTACTCTAACCATTGGGCAGCCTCTCCAGCCCCAGTAGTTAAGTGATCTAAACTGTTGAACCATTGTTCAACAACAAAAAAAAATAATAATTTGTTTTGTTTCGGTTTTGAGTTAGGGTCTCGCTCTGTACACCAGGCTGGCCTCAAACTCACAAAGAGTCTCCTGTCTGTGCTGGCCCCATTTCACTCTGCCCACACTACCCTCCTTGAAGAATAAAGGACCCTGCTCACCTGTCTGTCTCTCTCTCAACCTTTATTTTTAACTCTAGATCCCCTGGGACTGGAGTTGCAGCCAGTGTGAGCCACTCCATGTGGTTGCTGGGACCCACAGCTCAGTCCTCTGCAAGAGCAGCCAGTGCTCTTAACTGCTGAGCCACCTCTCCAGCCCTGGGACCTGCTTTTTGTTAATCGAAAGGAAACAAGATTTAACCCGGAGCCAACCCCTAAGTAAAACAGCAGTCGCCCACTGCAGACCCTTCCACTTTTGACAGGTGGCCATCCTTTTCGATACACTGGTGTGATAGACTTGGAGGGCTGGCTGGGCCAGCAGCCTCATTCCTAGAGACCAGTCTGCTCAGAGCCGGCCGGGGTCTCGGTGTGTGGGGTCCCTGAGCGCTCTGTGTCTTCCTTCTAGTGGAGAAGCCGTACAAGTGTGAGTTCTGCGGCAGGAGCTACAAGCAGAGGAGTTCCCTGGAGGAACATAAGGAACGATGCCGCACGTTTCTTCAGAATTCTGACCTGGGGGACGCTGGTAAGCTCCATGGGGCTCGTTCCCCCGACTCGCCAATTTGCCCACCTAGGTGGTGGAGACAGATAGACTATAGACAGAATGGATAAGCAAGGAGAGATAGTGGAGAAAAACAGAGCAGAGAGTGCAGGCTAAGGACGACCCGGGGAGGGCATCAACCAGGTAATGTTCTGATGGGCTGAGTGTTGGAGCGAGCCCCACGCCCCACAGATCACTGGGGAAATCACTGCATGAAAAGGTCCTGATGCTTCGACTTCTGTGTAAGTAGAGTCCTGTGCCTGTGCACCTGGGACAGAATGAGCAATGGGACGTGAAGCCAGAGGGGAAGGGGGGTCGGGGGAACTAGACCTTATCAGGCCTTGTAGGCCATCGTAAAGACCTTTGAGTGAAACTGAAAATCTTTGCGTACAGACAGGTGACATCATTGAACTGCTCATTTGGAAGTCATTACCCTACTTGGTTCCTGAGAATAGATTGCTTTGAGGACAAGGCTAGAAAGGTCTTGGGGAATCCAGTTAGCAATCCGTGGCAAGCATTCAAGCCAAAGGAAACTGTGTCTTGGCCGTGATGGGAGTTAGAGCCCGTGGGGTTTCCTAACCGTGATGGAATGGCAATGTTGGGGGGCGGGGTGGAGGGTGGTGGTGCAGGCTGGGGAGTGGTTAGGGAAGAATCAGTTACAACATGCAAGGATGTCCTTTGCATGGGGCCCACTGCTGATGTCCTTGTCTGCACATGTGACTTACTGTGGTGCTTGTGCTTGGCTTTGAGGGGTTTCCTGTTTTCCCCAGGGATTTGAATTATCTACCTCCTGGCCACAGACTGAGACCCTATGTGTATCCTCCTCCGTGTCCAGCGTGGTTTTATTTCCTTCTCATCCTTAGTTGAGTTAGCCTGATGCTTTTCTTGTACAGCATCTCTGGCAGTCATCCTTCATCCCGTGTGACCCTCAACCTGATCCTTCGGCTTCGGGTGGGGACTTGGTTGATTGGTTACGAGAATGGGAAGCAGTCCTCGTGATTGACAGCAGTAACTAACTGCACTGGAACATTTTGAGTGGCCTAAAGCAGAATGACTACAGGGTGGGACAGAGCAATGTGAGTGTCGTGAAAAGCAGAGTGGAAACCCTGAGTGTTCACCCCATGGAGTGGAAGGAAACTTGGGCTTTAGATTAAGCCTGCTTCCTGGTTTAGGAGCTGGCCAACTGAAGCCGTGGGTCTTCGCTTGCTTCTGCCTTTCGTCCTGATGGCACCTTGAGTTTTATCAAGGAATCCCATTCCTCCTTGTTTCTGAAGAGGGCCACTTGCTACCTCAAGAAAAACAACAGAAGCTTGGTGTTTGCCCTCTTAAGTGGCATGCTTAGTAGTGAATTAGTGTTTGCCCATAAAAGAGACATCTAATCCTACCTTCTCGATTTAGAGATGGGAAAACCAAGACTTGTCAAAATTTAGTGATTAACTTAAAAATCACTAGCGCTTTAGTTTGCTTGTTTGGTTTGGTTTGTGTGTACATGCAGGCACACGCATGTGCACACATGCCTATGTCTGGCAGTATTTTTTATTTTTAAAGTACAACTTAAGATAAATATTCTATAACAGCCAGGTGTGGTGGCACATCCTTTAATCTCGGCATTGAGAGGCAGAGGCAGGTGGACCACTGATTTCAAGGCCAGCCTGGTCTACAGAGAGAGTTCCAGGACAGCCAGAACTATGTAGAGAGACTCTTTCTCAAAAAAAAAAAAAAAGAAGAAGAAGAAGAATAAATTAACAAATAAATAAAGCTGTACAAGCCAGGCGATGGTGGCGCATGCCTTTAATCCCAGCACTTGGGAGGCAGAGGCAGGTGGATCTCTGTGAGTTCGAGGCCAGCCTGGTCTACAGAGCAAGAACCAGGACAGGCTCCAAAGCTACAGAGAAACACTGTTTTGAAAAAAAAAAATCAATCAATCAATCAATCAAGCTGGCTGTACAGTCATTGTTATCTAATTTTAGGACATTTCCCCACTCCCAGGAGAGACCTTGCCTACCCGCAATCCTTCTCCCCCTCCCATGCCTGGCACCAAGTCCCCTGCTTTGGTCTCCGTTGAAGTCCCTGAACCAGGTATCTCACAGAAGTGCAGTCACACCACGGGAGCCTTCTAAGTCTTCCTTCTTCTAATAAGTGGAATGTTTTTGGTTTCACCTATGTTGAAACATGTATTAGTGCTTCATTCTTTTTTTGTAGCTGAATAATAGTCCATTGTATGGAATTATCACATTGTGCTTTTCTATTCATCAGCTAATAGGGGATTTATTTTCCACTTTGGGAAAAAACAAACTATAGTTTTAGTAATCATATATCATCTGGATAGCAAAAGAAATAAAACAATATATACTGAATAGACACATACATATACGTGTGTGTGTGTGTGTGTGTGTGTGTGTGTGTGTGTGTGTGTGTGTGTGTGTGTGACTTGATTCTCCTTGAAATGGGAGAGGGAATCGCTAAGTTCTATCCCGTATACAATATTGAAAAGATTATTTTTGAAGTAACTTCTACTTCACATCCCAATGCCATTTTAGGAATTTGAAGTTTAAAAAGTTACCAAAAGAAGTATTTGGGGGTTGGGGATTTAGCCCAGTGGTAGAGCGCTTGCCTAGCAAGCGCAAGGCCCTGGGTTCGGTCCTCAGCTCTGTTAAAAAAAAAAAAAAGAGAGAGAGAGAGAGAGAGAAGTACTTGGGCTGTTCAGAGTGCTGGAGCAGGAGGCACAGAGCAGCTGATGTGCATCCATAGGGCTGTTTGATGGATGTGTACAGCATGTTGTAAGTCTCAGCAAAAAGCCAAGGGTTGACCAAGTCAGCAAGTTTTGGTATTTCTCTCTCTCTTTCTTTCTTTTTGTTGTTGAGATAGTGCCTCTCTATGTAGCCCTGGCTGACCTGAACCTCCAGAGATCCACCTGTCTCTGCTGTGTGCCCACCATACCTGGCTTTGATTTTTTTTTTAACAAATACGCCATAATGGATAAAATCACAGCTTAATTAAGTATAAATGCCACATGCCAGTACTATATCTCTTATGTTTTAAATAGTGCCTACATATTTTTTCCAAGTTCCAATGTAAAGACTTTTTTGTTTGTTTGTTTGTTTTGGTTTTGGTTTTTGAAACAAGGTTTCTTTGTGTAGCTTTTGGAGCCTGTCTTGGATCTCACTCTGTAGACCAGGCTGGCCTCGAACTCACAGAGATCCAACTGCCTCTGTCTCCGGAGTGATGGGATTAAAGGCGTGCGCCGCCACCGCCTGACAAGACTTTTTGATCTAACACAAGCACATCCCTCACAGGCATCATTCCTCCTGTGGTCTCTGTTTCTATTTCTAGTTCCTTCCTGGAACTAGGAGTCCAGTATGGACACAGTGTTCTATTCCGAGCCTGACCAATGCAGTAACTTGAACTTCTAATTTCTGCCTCCACTTCTCTGTCCTGGGATTAACAAGCATGTGCCACCATGCCCAGTTTGCTGTGGTACTGGGACTAGAACCCAGGACTCTTTGGGTAGACTAGGCACTCAAGCAGCTATACTTATGCCCAGCCCCAGGGTGGTACATCCTAAATCTTTATTCCTCCTGTCACTGCTAAAATGCTATTTCAGGGCTCCCGTGCATGGAGCACTCATGCAGCAGACACATGTTTAAACCAAAGTGCAGGTGAGTGTGGCAACAGGAGGCTGAGGTGGAGGCTTCTGAGGTGGAGGGTAGGATAGCAAGACCTGTCTCAAAAGAGAGAAAGGTAAGTTCAGTTGCGGCGAGTGTGAGAGCCAAGCGGGGACAGAGCTGTCTCTCCTGGAAAGCAGGCCTCCCTGGAAGGCCACCGATGAAAAGGCCTCGGAGTAAAGACCAGCCTCCGAAAGAATGCCAATGCGAAGCGACAGGACTTCTGTCTCGCTGGTCCTTTTATCCAGACACTGCTGGTTCAGTTCTGTGTGTGCCATGACCTGTTTGCAAAGATGAGGAAAAGCTAAACCCCTCCCCCTGAAGAACGCACAGTGCATTGAGTCTCATCATGGGGACACACGAGTTATCGCAAGTTCAGCCCAAGTCTCCACAGCAGATGCCATGAGTGACATGGTCTCAATATTCCTTCTGCCTAGTGGAGTACGGATGGCCAGAAGGAACAACGGATGACCGTGGACTTCATCTCCTTGATCTCTATGATGTTAACACAGCCTCATTTCACACAAATTCTACTTGTAGCCAGATTTTTTGTGAATAATCACAACTTCTAGCAATAATAAGACTTTTTGTTTGCATTGCTGAAGCTAAAACCCAGGGCCTTGCACATTCTAGACAAGCACTCTACCGCTGATAATAGCATTTATAAAGTAAGTGAGTAAAACGGCATATGATGGCACACATTTTTAATCCCAGAGGCAGGAGGATCTCTGTGAGTTCAAAGCCAGCTGGATCTATGATATAAACTCTACATAGACAGTTCCAGGGCTACATAGAGAGACTCTGTCCAAAAGAAAAAACCCTAAGCGAATAATTGATTGTGTTTATCTGTGAGTCTAGGAGTTAAATCTTTTGTCTTTTTTTTCTCATTGCTTCACAATGCAAGCACAAGGGTTTCAGGATGAAATTGTATTTTTTTTTAACCAGTGTAACACATTTTTTCTTCTGAAAGTTAAAAACCAAACAAACAAAAAACCCACCCCGTCTGTATTCCTAACAGTCTCTCATCTTACTCGCTCCACGGGCACCAGTTTCACATAACTGTTTGTTTGAACCTGCCTTGTCTTTGATAGCGATCTGTTGTTAGACAATCTTGTTGCACAATGACTCCACTCTGTTCCTGCCTTCATTAGCTGCTGACCACACCATAGAGGAGACCGGATGCCATGGCTGCTCGAAGCCCCATTTAACACTTCAAGCCCTAATGAAGGATTTTGCAAAAACAAAAGCAAAACATGATCACGTAGTCAAAGCTACAATTACTCTGAGATTAAAACCTGCATCGTGGAAGCAGTTCGCAGTTAAGGCGTGTGCGGGGATTAAAAGCAATAGATTATTCTTGTAATTGTGGTTTTCAATGATGCTTTATTATTTTTCCAATACTAGAGAACAGCTGTTGCTAATGAAAATTGACACTCACCTACTATAAGGTAGACAAATGATGTCAGGGGAAAGTGATCCAGAATTGCAGCCCTGCCCCTGTGCCCGCTCAGGTGCCAAATGTGTCAATGTCCACCATCCCGGATCCCCCCCCCCGCAATATTAAACTGCCAAACACCTAGGAACGGATTTCCTATTGCATCATCTAACCCATTATCATCTTCCCCTGCCATCTTGCCCAACTTGTTTTCCTCCACTTACTTTTCTGAGACTCCATTAGCAAGATAACAAGTCTAGACTGTGTGAATAGACAGTTGAGTCCTCAGTGCGGAGGGAGGACCAAAAGTCAGAAGGTCCTCCTCCTCCTCTGTCTTTTCAGCGTACTCTCTGAACAATCCCAGAGCTCAGCTAACCCTGACAGCTGACTTGCTGCCCATCCAGTGAGTTTGTACATTAGCTGTCTGACAGTTCAGAGGCAAAAAGACATGAAGTCTAGGCAAGAAAATAAGAGTGTACCCTGTTTTTCTGCTGATTAGCCTTTGCCCGCCCTCTCCAGCTGGAGAGCAGTTAAGTCTGTGAAGGAGAGCTCAGTTCCCGGGGTGTGTCCCTGCGGTTGGGAGAGTCGGGGTCCAAGAGTCAGTGTTCTGAATCACAGATCTGGGAAGGGAGCAGTGGACAAGGGGCCTCTTGAGCTCTTGCGGGAGGCGTTTCCCTCTTAGCAGAGCCGTGGGATAGGAGAGCCTTCCCTTGGGCCTCAGACTATCTTTCCACCCATGAACACTCCAGCGTGTTACTTTCTTAAATGTCAGCCATTTGGTCGCTGATTGACATGGTGAGAGTTATCTGGAAATGACGAGACCAGCCTGGTGGGTAACCAGGAATGAAAAAGGTGATGTTATCTCAGAAGGCTGCCATTTGGTGACATGCCCTAATTACAGTTATTTAGGTCAATGTGTCCATGTCTCAGCATCCTCCCAAACACGGAGGATGTCGATTGCGTGTGCCCACGAAACTGTCGCTGTGATGGTGAGTTTGGTAAAACATGAGCAGGGACTCCTAAGAGATAAGTGGGGAACAGAGGTGTCATGCCTAGGGCAGGTCCTAGCTCATGATTTGGCCATGGGGGGAGGGACTAAAAGGGACAAAATCAGTGTAAATATACACTGTAAAAATACAGTGGTAAAGTGGGACCAGAAGTAAAAATTCCCCAAGTTTTTTTTTTAATCCTCATTTCAACCTAAATCATTTCAACAACAGATACAGGAGTGGTGGCCCTAACCTTCTCAGACACCCCTAGAGGACACACATGGCTACCTTTACCCTACTTCTAAGAAAAAGGAAGAACAAAAAACAAACAAACAAACAACAGCCATCCCTTGTGTTGGAAACTGACTTCCAATCCCAGGCTGTCTTTCATCTCTCTGCTCAAGAGGCTTTGGACAGTGCCACATCTGGCGGTGGTTTGTGTGCTAGGAAATAATGTGTGTGATCATTTCCTGTTTGGCCATTTTACTCCGTCTCTGGACTGAGCAGAATTCGACCCACTTCACTCAGTAGCAGGGGACTGTCACCAAGTGCCCGAGTCCAAGGACGTTACCGAGTCTGAAAGCTGCCTAGGCCCCTGGTCCTAAACATAGTGTTTTCATTTACATACACCGCTGTCGACAGCTGGACCAGAGGTGAGGATGTGTTTCTTTAGAGCCAGGAATTATTTTTGACAAGTCAAGCAATGTTGGCGCTATCACGGTACTTGTTTTTTCACTTCTGGAGACAGATTTCCTTTATGACTGATTTTAAAAACCACACAAAGCTTTACATTGTTTAACACCTGAAACAGAGTTCTTTTGATGATGGTAATAAGGTGGAAAACAATTAATACTTGGAATGATCATTTTCTAATCTGGCATTGACTCTGGCCCAGCCTGGCTGTCTTGCCCTGGAGATCTTTCTGGGCCATTCATTTCTTGCAAAGGTAGCCAGCATCTTTTTCTCTGGACGTGTGTCTGTCAGACCATGGAATGTGCGGTGGCCCTGTATGTTGGAATCTCTTCACATGACAAATACCTCAGACTCTTCCACTACAGGGCAAGTGCAGACAGTTCCCAAACCTGTGTGGGCACCGGACCGGGGAATATATCATTCTGTAGCTTTCATTTACTTTAAACTAATTACATTTTCTTCTTCTTAGAGGAATTTGAAATGTATGGATTTTCAGTTTAGACTCTCTGAAGTTCTCAGACAAAACAGAGATATGTTCATAGTATCACAATATATTTGCTAGGGCAGGGGTGTATACACCTCAGGCCAAGTACAGGTAGTAATCTGTTTGTTTGTTTTGTTTTCTGAGACAGGGTTTCTTTGTGTAGTCTTGGTTGTCCTGGAACTCACTCTGTAGCCCAGGCTAGCCTTGAACTCACAGAGATCTGCCTGTCTCTGCTTCCTGAGTGCTAGGGCTAAAGGCTTGCTCTGCCGCCGCCACCGCCACCGCCACCACCACCCGGCAGTAATCTGTTTGTATATAGGACTTTTATTATTTATTTATTTATTGTGTTTGTGTGTGCATGTGTGGTATATGAATGTGTCCACATTTGTGTGTGTGCAAGTGTGCCTGAAGGCCAGAAGTCGACTTTGAATGTCTTCCTCAATCACTGTCCACCTCATTTCTTGAGACAGAGTCTCTCATTGAACCTGGGGCTTGCTGATTCAGCTAGATTGCCTGGCCAGCAAGCCTCTTGGATCCTGCTGACCCTGCTTCCCCAGGGCTGGGATTACAGGCTTGGGCGTTTTAGGTGGGTCCTAGGGATCCCAATTTGGGTTCTCATGCTTATATAACAAGCATGTCACTGGCTGAGACATCTCTCTGGTCCAATTTTTACATTTTAAAAGAGATGTAGAGCAGAAAACACTAATACAGAAAGGGACTGTGATCCCACGAATTTAAAAATAGTTACTACCAACATGAGCGTAGTAGTGCGAATGTGTACTCCCAGTGCTTGAGAGGTTGAAGCAAGAGATCCATGCATTTGAGACCAACCTTGGGGCTATGGAACAGAAAGACCCTGCCAAAAATAATAATGCTTACAAATAATCATACACAGTATTTACTCTTTGGTCTTTTACCGAAATAACTTACTGATCCTTGACTCCAGCATTATGAAGTTTTAGGCCTTGTATTTATAGCAGTTAGTGGGTTTTCACTCTTTAGGCATGATGTCTCACTGGGTGCTGCTGGCTATACCAAAGTAAATTATATGTGTTCTGCTTTACCATTTAAGTGTACTGGCAGTGTTTTTATATTCATCTAGTGCACTGAAATTATGTATGCTCCCCCTTCCCAGAGATTCGAATGGTAGCCTAGGATGGCCTGCAACTCACTGTGTAGCCCAGGCTAGTCTCAAACTCATGGCAGTCTTCTTGCCTCAGTCTCCCCAGTACTGGGATTACAGACATGAACTGCCTTGTCCTGTTGTAGCTGACTTCTAACATCATCTAGCGAGCTTTGAAGGCACTGCTGTCCTGGCCCCTCTGCAGAGTGAAGGGAACCTGCCTATAGATATTTCTTATGTGTGTACTAGGCAATTAGGCAATACTAATTTGCAGCCAGGTCTGAGAACTCCAGCCCGTGACACTCAGATGTCTTTCTGTGGGTTGATAACCAATCCCCATTCTCAGGCAGTTCCTAGTCTCACTTTTTCATTAGAAACATGATAGAAATGCAGTGCACAAATTGTTCTGTAACTTCAAAACAACAGCGTGGCTCAGGGACACTCTAATGGAAATGATTTTGAGATGTGGAGGACATATGAAGCCACACACAGAACCCAGAGAAACGGAATTTGAAAGCTAGGAACTGAGAGAAATGTAGTGAAGAAAAAAATGACTCAGTATTTCAATACCCAAATCACTGAGTAGATTTCTCGCTATCTGGGTGAGTGTATCTATTTTCAAAAGTGCCATTAACATAAACAGAGCAGTAAATCTGGGGCACTGTGCCTTTTTTTTTTCAAAGTTGTTAAGAAGAATATCAGGGTGCAGGTGTCACATGCAGTTACTCAGAATCAGAAAGACGGCTGCTGGGGGGCAAAGGCCTCCATCTATCTGTCTTCTGCAGCCAACCACGTCCAAGCTGTTTCTTCAACACTTCCTCTTGCTAATGAAGGCACTGGCTGGGGATGGGTCGGGCTTTCCCATCTCAGCACAAGATTGCAAGATCTGAATGTGCCCCAGAATCGGTCTCACTGACCACAGCAGGTACCCAGGGCAGGAAACCCAGCAGGAACAACAGGTAGAAACAGCCCTGTGCATCAGCCCCCGGATGCTTCTCCCAGCTGATTTCCCTTTCCCAGTCGCCCCATTTACCAATGTGTTCTTCTCCCTCTTCTTCCAAAGCAGCGAGCGTGGAGGCAAGACACATCAAAGCGGAGATGGGAAGTGAAAGAGCGCTCGTTCTGGACAGATTAGCAAGCAATGTGGCAAAACGAAAAAGCTCAATGCCTCAGAAATTCATTGGTAAGGATGCACGGCCCTTTCTTGCTGCTCCTCACAGATAACTTGACTGAGATAACATGTAGATGTTTACCGCACATGCCTTTCCTAGTGCAGCCTGCTAAAACAAGGTTTCCATTGTGTTCTTATTCTCTGTGGTCGGTTCATTTTGATGGCTCTGGGATATAGAACTAAAAATATTAACAGGGGAGCGTTTGATATTGTTTCTTAAATGGAGTTAGTGTTAAAGATGCTGTTCCTTCCTCTTCGCTCTGAATGACATTTGTTGCATAGATTTATGCAACTTACACCAGTAAAATGTTCAAGATAGCATCTTGGTAAAATTTTGCAATGATATGTTACAAGTTGGTTCTGTTAGCATGCTCTAACTTTTTTTTTATGTTCTAAAACATATCGGCATATTTTCTTGAATTTGATTGAGAGCTCGCTTTTACAGAAAGTGGTTGGAGAAAAACGTGGATTTAAATAACTCAGTTTGATTTGATCACTTGTCTTACTGAAGTTAGTTTTTATGTCTTTGGTTGTCACATTGTCAGAAGCCACTGCAGAACGAGATGACTAAGAGACAACTGTGTTCATTAAAGTGTTGGGGACTTAAAAATGGTGGGGCCATTTCATGATTCGCGCAGATGTTTACATACTTGTGACCATAGTATTTAAAATAGACTTGTAGTTGTAAGCAGCTTAGTTGAATGTGTCAGTTTTATTATAAATTGAAAATTGGTGGTTCTGAACAAAAATAGTTTTATCATGTGAACAAAAACCTTCCTCAGCACCAATAATATTCTAAAATTTGTCAATATCTTTTTGTAAAGCTGCTTACTGCTTCTGAATTCTGACTTTAGTCTTCTTGTGTTCATTCTTTCCAGTAGCTTTGATACATACCAAGTGCCTGTCTGCTTTTAACTCTAAGATTATTCTGATATAGGTAACAGTTTATAAGGGACATTCAATTGAATTATATATTGAAAGAACTCATACATCTTGAAATTACTGAAATTGGTATTTCTGCTTATTTATTTTACTGTTATTAGCTGGATATCTTTGGAATGCTTTTAGTCACTTCAAGAATGAATGTAGCATATATCTTTAATCCTAGTACTCACAAGGCAGAGGCAGGTGGATCTCTGGGAGTTTGAGACCATTCTGGTCTACAGAGTGAGTTCCAAGCTAGCTGGGGCTATAGAGACTCTGTCTCCAAAAGACAAGGATGTGGTAACAGATGAACGAGTTGTAATCCAAGGGTATGGTGCATTATTCCTACATCCCCGGAACTTGGCAGGTAGAGGCCAGAGGGTCGGGAGTTTGAGGCTATGCTCAGCACATGATGAGTTTGGGCCAGCCTGGGCTATATGAGACACCCTATCTTGAAAAAGAAAAATCTGTCAGTCAGTCTATTATCCCACCAATGTATCATGTCAGATTGAAGTTGCTGTGTTTCTGGTTAGGAAAATTTGCCCCTCCTAATCATTTTACCTCCCCTTGTGGAGACTTGTCAAGGGGGCATGTGGTGATTGAGCCCAGCGAATCAATCAGGACGTCGAAGCATTCCCTGTGTGTCTTTGGACCTTACTTGTGTGCATAGACTCCGGTGAATACAAAAGAAAGCAAGGGGTCATCAGTCTCTCCACGTGAATCTTAACTGGGGGGCTGTTTTGACTCTGGAAATGGCTGAAGCTGGTGTGGGAGGAGCATGGGATGAGAGGGGCAAGGAAATCCAAGCAATGAGGAGTCTTAGTTTCAGTCAGTCCAGTTTTAGTCAGTGCACTTGGGATTGAAGAGAACTAAAATTTGAGAGAGGGTACCTAGTCCTCATGGTTGGCTTAAACCTATGGCTGAGGCAAAGCCCTCCTTACTGTGGTAGGTTTTTGTTTGTCTGTTTTCATGTTTCCTGTGTCCAAATCCACTTGGCTCTGCTGTTGCCTCAGAGAACCATGCGGTGGTTTTTGACTATAGATTTTCAGATCACCTCCAGACCCTCTGCAAGATGTGGACTTTGGGAGGTCTAGGTTCTCCCTTCTCTGAACCATCGCATCTGGGCACTAGGATGGGGAACTTAGCAGGGTCAGCTCTTTCTGTTTGTTAGTAAAGCTTGTCCTTTGACAATTTCTTATTCATGTATGTATCTGGTTACTCTCCCCTGCTCAATCTTATCCTCCCCCTCCTCCCTCCCCCCTTACAGACCCCTTTCGCATATTCATTAGTTTGGTTAGTTTAACGTCCCCTGGAGTTCATCTGGGACGACATGTCTGTGGGACCCTAAGCTTGGAACTAACTGTAGGGCCCAGTGGGCTCACCAGGGGTATCAGCTGGCCAGAGCTGCTCTTGATTTTAGCTGAACAGCAGCTTCAGGGCCCAGGATAAGTGAGGGCTTTCTTTTTTTCCTTTTTCTTTTTCTTTTTGGTATACGGTAACATAACACAATCAGGAGAACACTTCCTTGTGTTTCTCAGCTGTTTAGACGAATCACAGAATGCTTTCTGGGCCTCTGTAACTCATTCATGAATGAGAAAGCTGAATAGATGATGAACTGACCAGAAGGCCCCTCCCATCTACGGGAGACGAATTAGAAATGTCAGGCAGAACCAGAGTGTGTTTAGCACAGCCTGACTGTGTAAACCTCTTCTCAAGGCTCTAAAGACAGAGTATCTGTGCTGTACACCAGTGTCGAGTTTTGAGATGGGCTGTTTGTTTGTTTGTTTGTTTGTTTGTTTGTTTGGAGGATGGCTCCCGGGGGCCTCAATGATGTGAAGTAAATGTTCTAATAGTGAGTGGCTCAGTCCTTAAAGGTCCCAGTCCTTAAAGGTTTGTGCTGGTCGGGCTGAGTTCTTTTTACATTTTATTTTTCTTTTTTTTTTTTTTTTTTTTTTTTTTTTTTTTTTTTGGTTTTTCGAGACAGGGTCTCTCTGCGTAGCTTTGCGCCTTTCCTGGAACTCACTTGGTAGCCCAGGCTGGCCTCGAACTCACAGCGATCCGCCTGGCTCTGCCTCCCGAGTGCTGGGATTAAAGGCGTGCGCCACCACCGCCCGGCTACATTTTATTTTTCTTGAGGAAAAAAAAATTATTAAAGCTCTGACTCTAAAGAAAATAGTCACATTTTCTCACATCCATACGCTAACTTAGGACAGCCTGTACAGCCTGCTCATTGATCTTGTGTCCATTCCTTCATCATTCACATAGTAACCTGGGGTGGGGCATCGCTTGTGTCTGCAACCTTTGGAGGTCAAGGTCATCCTCTCAATGTCAAGGACAGCCTATATGAGATCCTGTCTCAGAAAGCAAAGAAATGATGCTTCTCGGCCTTTTGGCTAAGATCAAGTGTAGTATCTGTTCTTATCAGTTTAATATCTGATACGTCCTCTATCCGAGGACAATATATTAAATGGATTTTTGGAAGTAGGAGTTGGAATAGGAGCTTGCTCCGTCCACTCCACCCACTGATCAGGTATTGCTGTACCTCCAGGAACGGTGCAGGGAAGAAAATAAAGAGAGAACTTTCTTATCAGACACCCAGCACTCTTGTTCTGGGGCACGCTCTTAATCTTCTAGCATCAATTCCTATCCTAAACCTTTCTTAGGACCCCCTGGAGTCAGATAGATCTCTGTGAGTTCCAGGCCAAACTGTTCTGCACAAAGAGTTCTGGGCCAAGTAGAGTTTAATAGTGAGACCCTGTCTCAGAGAGGGAGGTGGGGCTGGAAAAGCGTGAGGACCCATTCATCGTTCACCCCCCTCCTTCCCAGAACCCACATAAAAGCTTTTGTAATACCATCAGGAGACAGGCAGGGCTGGTTGACCAGCCTCTGGAGCCAAACTGGAAGCTCTAGGTTCACAGGGAGACTCTGTCTCAAACAGTAAGAGGGAAAACGACTAAGGAAGACACCCAAGGTGGACATCAGGCCTCACTTGCATATAGGTACACACACACACACACACACACACACACACACACACACACCAAAAACAGAAAGAAAAGTCATTTAAAAGGGAAACTCCTTGGATCATCTAGCTGAGCCAACCTTTGTGCTAGACAGCAGAGGCGTCAAGGGAAGGAAAACAGGGCACCCCTGTGGCATGGCGTCATATGGGATGCAGCATCATAAGCCCAGGCTAGCGTCCCCTCCTCTCTTCTCTCATCTCCCTCTCCTCTCCAAGGCACCATTTTCTAAAAGGCTCCTGCCGCCAGGGAAATGGCACTGAGTGGGCTGTGACGAATGAGTCACTCCCTCTAATCCTTGCTAAGAGTGAACACACAGCTCTCACACCAGCCCTTGCTGCCCTGGCCTCTTGAACTGTAAGGGCAAAGGTCAAACAGAACCCTCAGGTTAGCTGACCCCTACCCTTGACAGGGGCAGCATGGCTCATCTACATCAAGATGATTTCTTTCCAAACGACAAGACGGACTTGCTTCTAGCATCCTAACCTGAATCTTGTCCTGTCATAAATAATGTTCAGCCATCCTCTGGGTCAGGCTAGCCTCAAGACAGTTGACCCAAAATAGAAAGAGGAAAAATGTAACTTGTGTCTGAGTTTTACTTTTTCCTGGTTTTCATTTTCCTTGGGAATGGGACTCACCACATCTCCTTTTGAAAAAAAAAAAAAAATGCATGTGTTACTTTTTTAATGAAAGTTCCCCTGTTGAAAAGAACATGAAGAAAAAAAAAAGACTTTTTGTCACTGGTGGTAAACATGTGAGTGAGGTTTTGACACTTCTGCAAGCACCATCAGCTTTCTCTGTGAAGTGAGGGAAGGAAAAGTCACCTACTTTGGTTAACAGAGCAGCAGGAAGCAGTTTTAACACCCGGTAAAGAGTAGCAGGTGTCTTTCCTGCCAAGTCTTCCCAAAGTCTCGGTGCCCCTGGTTCCATACGCATTACAGTGTTGACACATTTTTAAGGATGTTGGGAGCCTATAGAGAAGCCCTTTGACTCAGGAAGGAGAGAAAACCAAGGTATTGGAAGACACAGCGACACAGCTAGACAGAGCAGGACCAAACCCTGCTCGGC